CTTAGTCAAAGATGAAATACACACCAGATATGCCAATCTCAAAAATATTCTAGTTGCACTCATATCTCTTATTACATAAGTAATCATTAGGAAGAAACCAATGAAGATCGGGAGAGGTCGTTCTGAAAAGTGAACAATAAATATCTGAATATTAGACATTCAGATTCCAACCAATATTTATTCTGACTAAAAGAAACAGATCGCTAAATGCTCTTCTTAATTCTGAGTAAATTATAGCTAAGACAAACTATTAAAGCATTTCGAACTAATACTAAAATTGTATCCAGGTTTGGGGAAGAGCTTGAAAATTATCTTTAATATTCCATATGATAACTAAATTTAAAGCTCCTTCATTAAACAAAGCCCGACAGCGGAAATTCGACGTTAATGATGTCAAACAACTCCCTTTACAACTTACTCATAGAATTGATTAGAGACAAATAATACAATAATCCGATAGTGTCTCAGGAGGGCATTCTGCCTTTAGCGCTGATAGCATATTTTAATTAAATCAAACAAATATTCCGAAACTAACAGCAATAAAAAACTTTCCTTTTTCAACACTCTTACCGTACGATTAATAAAAAGCAAATTTTTGAATCATAGAATATATGCTTCTTCTTTTTTAATCAAAAATGAGGCACTGACATTTTTGCATCTTTTGTTGGTCATTTTCAGATCATTCATCTTCTTAATAAATTTTCTTTGAAAGATACGAGAGTTCCTCATCGATAATATCTATTCAGTCCATGAAATATGATCATAACAAACAAAAATAATTCTCATTTCTTAAACGATTGTAAGCAGAGCAAACTTGGATCTCTAAAAATATCGGAGGTGAGAGCAAGTGCCATAAAGGTATTTAGCATCCCCTGTCGACGGATCACACCATCCGTGTGCTCCTTTTTATGATTGAGTAAATGAAGAATTTCATAATAAATTCAGTAAGTAAATAATGGCTTAAAAATTTGTATGTTATTCGTCAGACAAGATTCGACCTAATGACCAATAGTATTTGCAAACAAGATCATAGAATCCACCATAGAAAACCCCAAACGAGACTTTTATACATTCACTTGTTTATCAGTACTCTGTCTAATTTAAAAAAAAATGTTAAAGAACATGCTCTTGAATACACTGGGAGACATATTGATAGTTACTATCATGTCCTGAAACAAATTCAGATGTGCCAAATAGAATTGTTCTCATCTGCTTTTTATTTACGTCTCCGGAATATAATTTGAGGAGGAAAAAAATGAATTTACGCATAATTTTAAAAATGCTTTTTTTTCCCTTTTGTCAGAAATAAATAAATATGATCCATGTTTATTGTAATTAGCTTTAATTGTTTACTTTTCTTCAAGCAATAAGATGTTTGTTTGTTGTTTAACGTCCCTGTCGAGAATTTTTCACTCATATGGAGACGCCACCACTTGCCGGTGGAGGGCTACAAATTTTGACCTATACTCTGCACTCACGGCCATTGAGCAGTGAGGGATCTTTTTTGTGCCAGCATGTCAGCACCTATACTGCGACACGGGACCTCGGTTTATACGGTCTCATCCGAGGGACCGGTCTCCACGTCCCACGTCCCGAGTTAATGATCAACTCCTTACTCTGCGACTCTAGAGCAGACGCTCTTACTACTGCACCACGCGGGCGACAGTAGTAAAATGTAATGATAATCATGAATAGCTGAATACTTGTATTTTTATTTAATTTATTACATCTAAGAGTTTGAATGTAATCAACATCATTTTTACCTTGGGCTACTTTTTGAAATAATATGAATATAAAAGAATATTGTCAATTTTCTGAATATTGTCAATTTTCTGAATATTGTCAATCTTCTTGAATGGTCTTCTGTATACGGTCTCAGGTCTCATCCGATGGATCGGTCTTCGCGTCCCGCAATGGGATTCGAGCCCGTGACGTATGGTTCAACTCCTTACTTCGCGAATATAGAGCAAACCCTCTAAGCACTGTTCGACACAGGCTGTTAAGAGTATGTAAAATGATCAATTATTTTTAAATAAGAAATCTAAAATCTTATCTTTCATAAAAACCCCTCTCAAAAACAAATCTTAAAAGAATTCATCAGATATTTTACCCTAGCTCTGCATTTTTTCCAAATACCAATTTTTAGTGATAATTTTTTCATTAAAAACCTTTATTTTTGTAATTGATTTACTTTTTATGCTTTAATGATGACAATTCCTCAATCCCATACTAACTTAACACTTAATACATTAATTACCCTCTATAATATACGACGAGAACATATTTTGGACTGTGAGAAAATTGCTTAGGATAAAGGTAAAGGTATTGTGTTTATTTAATCAATATCCATCATAGGGCACCTGCATATCTCTTTTATTCTTCTTATGTAGAAGTTTTCACATAAATTCTTCTTCATAGAAATATAAAAACAGGCCAGCAAATAAGGAAAACAATTAGTATCCATCGGAATCCCAACAGTTTATGGAAAACTTGGTTTCCGAGTTCCGTTTTTATTGAAAAGGCAGTTGTCTATGATATCAAAAAGTCTTTTTTATTATTCTTTATCGTGAGACATTGTAGAACAAGAGTACGTTTTGATGTTATAGACTTTCGAAAATTTTGGTAGTTTTAAAGTTTCTACAAGTTCTTCAGAGTTTTTAAAGATCCGCATCTGATTAACACCACTTCTAAAATATGCAGTAGCACAGTATGTCTTGAGGTCCTCCTTTACAGCAGTTAATATTTTTGTAAGGAGTGAAGATAATGGCTTGTTAGAGAAATTTCTAGATCCTGCAATGTATCTTTGTTTGTAAGGAATTTTATGAAGTTAAGGAATAAAGCACAAGTAGGATAAGTCAGCTCTCCACCGGAAGTGTTGGCATCTCCATATGGTGAAAATTCTGAAGAGGAACGTTAAACAAAAAACCTCGGACAAAATTATAGTAATTTATAATTAATAGTAGAACTTTTAAATTATATTGAATGCTAATAAAGTCATATATTTTGATAAGAAAAAGTAACATTATTTCCTTATTTTGAAAACATCCAATATACAAGTTGCTGTCAGTGGCGGATCCAGGAATCTTGGAAAGGGGGGGGGGGGGCAGTTGGGGTCGGGGTAGGGGCCAATGGCCACAAAAAATTGATTTATTAAATCTTATGTATATTTTGGACACAAAAGGGGGCAGCCCCCCTGGGTCCCCCCTCTAAATCCGCCAGCGGCTGCCCATCACTTTACTAGACACGATTATCATATTTACATGAATAAAGCATGACACATCAAATAACTAATATCAGCGAGCTTGAATGGCTCTCGGATCTTGCGAATATTTCTCACACGCGTATAAAAATTGGTTTACAGTATTAGGAATGGTAATCAAAAACAGAATTGCCAATCTGTTAACTGCAAGACGTTCAGAACGATTAATAGGTTAATAGTATAACTAATTCTCGACATGTTTCATCATTGTAAACTCTTCTCAAGACTAAAACAATGTTACATATAATTATATTATCTTAGTATTTAATCAGATATTAACATTATTTCAATAGGCAACTAAAAAAAGAGACACTTCAAACAAACCTGAAGTATGAGTTACATAAAAAATGTCAGAAGAGATGTCACGTAATTTCATTCTTCGTTGTAACCATAATCAAAACTAAGTCTGATCTATCACTTTTTTACGATGTTTCTTAAATAATATAATTTCAGATAAACATTCATGCATAACAGGCATTAATAATATCTATGGAAAGACTCTCTATCAGAGGTAAAGGAATTAGCACATAAATATGATTAGCTGAGTAAACTAGTATTGCAAGCATCTGTAATAAAATTGCAGCCTAAAAATTACAGGTTCAAATTGGCACCATCAAAGTGCCAGCTAGATATCTTCAATGCAGCTAAACTAGTTATAGGTAAGCATGATATATAAATTTGAATAAACTTGTTACATGTATCAGGTAATGCATTTTTTCTAGGAATATCATTAACCAAGACCAGTTTTTGAATTTATTATAATTGACGTGTACAACCATTGGTAACCATCACTCAGTAGTGTGATACCTTCTGATAATTGTGTGATCCACATTTGGGTTGGGATACTCCCAAGACACTTCACTTTTAGGTATCCATAGTAATAAAGTAAGATTCAACCTTGGAACTGCACTTTTTAAAATGTGATTAAGAATTTCAAATAGCTCTGTTTAAATTTGCTGATTAGAGACTGAATGTGTCACCTTCTGTGATATGAAACTTGGTTCATTAATAATCAGATAACAATACTCAACGATCATTTAATAAAAAAATAATAAAAGAAACACACGACAGGTTGAATAGCGACATGGTGTTTACGGAGGAATTAACATCTCGACATACTGACCAATTAACCACACGATGTCAACATGGAGGGCTTGAATTATCTCCAAACCAGCTTTAATAGGATAGGTACGTATATATAATAATAATTTCAGATATTTTTTTTTTATTTGTGATTTTAATTGAAATTTCAGGAAATTGTGTTAACATTTACCTATATATTATATTTTCCGACCAACAGATTACATAATTTCTTATCGATTACCATAATTCTTACACCGTTCCGTTCTGCGATGCCTAGTTTTACTGTACACCTTTTCTGAATCAAATTTATAGGAATGTTTTCTCCTCTATGGCACCTGTTCCCACCCCTGCCTTCAGAGGCCCGTGTTGGCTCTCCTAATAAATTTTATTGTTTGAATGGACTTTTGAAAATGATTTCAGATTTCTTGGACTTTAAACGCTCGTATTTTACTTTATCTTTCATAGGTCACCTGACGAAAAATCCTAACAACTAAAATTATTTAATATAACCTTCAACTTTTTTTATTTATACAAAATAGCTTATTCATGTTGACCTTTTATTTACTTCCGTTGAACGTGGTTTGTGAATGAATTATGGCTATTTGAAACAGGAAAAAGATATAAATTTTTGTGCAGGGAAAATACATTTAGGACAATCTTAAGTATAGAAACACATTACTGCGAGATAAACACCGTTAGAAATAACCAGAATTATTCCAAAGAGAATAAGACAGAAACGATCTATTGCCATTCCGATGTCTCGCCATGTAAGAATCTTAGATACAGAATCAATGGTCACTTCCGTTGCGCTTTTCTTCTCGTCAAAATTCACTTTATGTTTTCTCTTGCAACGACAACAACGAAACAACATTCTGTGAAACGTCTCCAAGTAATCGGGAATTACCGTTTCCTCCTCCCTATGATAAAATCGTAGCCCAACAATCACACTTATTGTCATGAATACCCCGATCATGAAGTCTCCCAATAGTTTGTAACTGAGGAAGGAAACACTGGGTTCAGAACCTTCTGGTAATTTATCTTGAACTAAGGTGAGATAGACAGCAATGGCTAGAAGAACCGTGGTAACAAATCCAACGCGTTCACCACATTCTGGTGGCATTACAAAAACAAACAACTGGAGAAATGCAAGAAAAATAACTGGCAATATCAAACTAGATATATAATAAACTGGGCGCCTCTTCATGCTGATTGTCATTCGAACCTCTTGAATTTGTTGTGAGTTTATGGCAATATAAATTTGAGTTTCTTTTACTTCCCAAATACCATTTTCACTATATTCATTCATGTCCATGGAAGACTTAGGAATCGCGAATACGATTTCAGAGAGCGTGAATCCTTGTATATAGAACCTCAAGGTACAAATCTGTGAATCGAATGGGTAAAAAGACATATCAGCATCGCAAGTACTCTCAAACATGTTAGGCGTTATCCAAGTGACTTTTCCATCATTTGCGACTCTTAAATTGAGTTCGTTGTGCCCAATCGGTTTTAATGTGTCAAAGTCCATTGTATTGACAAGGAAGGGTATCCAGATTTTCTTTTGCGGGACTACGGTTGTATTCAAGTCCCCTCCGTAATCAGTTGGATTCCATGACAATCGATGGTCTACCCAGAAAACACCTAGAGCTCCAGTAATGGAGAATTTCCCCACAGATTCATCAAGCTCCTTTATACTCTTAAATATAAACGTAACCATAATTTGTAATGGAGTGGATCTACTTGCTCCCGGTCGAACGTCTCGGTCGTATGTGGAATTGAATATCGCTGTATGTAGACTCAGTTCATCATTTATTGTATATGCCTCAGAAAACAAACATAGATAATCAAAAATAATAACAGCAAAAAGTTGTCCGATCATTCTCCTGTCTTTCATTTTGTGGATAATTTTTTTTTTTACAGTTTTTATTATGTAATCTATGTCTAAGTTTTAAAGTTCTCATCAAAACGATCTATTAAAACAACAAAATGGGTATGGCATTTGTTTAAAAATTCTGTTCTTTCATTATTTGTATTCTAAATATGATCTAACGTTGAAATCCAATATCCACCTTAAAAATTTGTGTCAATAAATGCAAGCTGGACAAACAGTACTGAGAAGAATACACTTAAGTAGTTTATATTTTACAATAGAAGTCATTATATACACGCGACAATGAAAGGGGTTAAAAGACTTTCTTTTGTATCCGAGATCCACATCAAGTTATATGCCCTCTTAATAATTATCGGGCTCACAAACATCGAAGCCCCCCTCCCTGGGGTCTGAAATTTGTGCCCAAGAAGATTACCTAAACGTAAAAATAACCAACAGTGATAAAATTCATAATGAGTCGTAAATTAGGGCAAGAATATGGATCCTTGGAAACCCCAGATGCCCAGGAAGAGTAAGCATTTTGTCGACCGGTTACACCCACACAAAAATCAGTTTAGTATTGAAAAGCTTAAATGCATAAGTGGTCCCAACCTACCCCTAAAAGGGAGAGGGGGATGTATGATTTGAACAAAATTGAATCTACACGAACTGAGTATGTTTACATATTTTTTGAACTGGGACTTTTTTCCTACAAGTCTGAAATTACATTGTGGCCCCACCCTACCCCCAGGGGTCATGATTTAAACAAACTTGAATCTACACTATCTGAGGATGCTTGCATACAAATATGACCAACCATGGCTTTGCTGTTCTTGAGAAGAAATTTTTTTAAGATTGTTCCTATATATTTCTATGTAAAACTTTGATCGTCCATTGTGGCCCTACCCTACCCCCGGGGGTCATGATTTGAACAAACTTGAATCTACACCACCTTGAAATGCTTCCAGATAAATATGAATAATCATGGCTTTGCTGTTCTTGAGAAGATTTTTGAAGATTTTCCCTATGTATTCCTATGTAAAAATCTAATGGCCCACTGTGACCACATCCTACCCCAAGTGGTCAAGATTTGAACAAACTTGAATCTACACTACCTGAAAATGCTTCCATACTAATATGACCAATCAGGGCTTTGCTGTTCTTGAGAAGAAGATTTTTTAAAAGATTTTTCCTATATATTCCTTTGTAAAACTTTGATCGTCCATTTAGGCTTTACCCTAGCCCCGAGGGTCATGATTTGAACAAACTTGAATCTACACCACCTGAGAATGCTTCCACATAAGTTTCATATTTTCTAGCAGAGTGGTTCTTGAGAAGAAGATTTTAAAAATGCCATAAATTTTTAACGATTTTGCAATTAGCTCCCTTTGGAAGAAGGCGTGGCCCTTCATTTGAACTAACTTGAATCCCCTTTACCCAAGAATACTCTGTGCCAAGTTTGGTTGAAATTGGCCCAGTAGTTCTGGAGAAGAAGACGAAAATGTGAAAAAATTACGACGACAACGACGCCAACAACGACAACGACGACGATAGACAACGGGCAATTTTTGATCAGAAAAGCTCATTTGAGCCTTTGGCTCAGGTGAGCTAAAAATAAATTATAAAATAATAAACTATAATACTTCAATGTGCAATTCAAATTTCTATCGAGAGGGCATCGACTCGAGCTGCAAAAAATTCCACCAATTCAACAAACAGTGAATAATAAGGATAAATTGAAATAATACTGTTATCTGTGTCTTATATTAATTAACTCTATCTGTATTTCTATGCTAAAATAAAAGAAGTGATAAATAAAGCAGAGATTTTCACCGTCTTCCTAATATCCGAATGTATGAATCAATCGTATGTTTTAAAATATATAGTTTTTTTTTGGGAAAAAAAAGAAAAGAAAAGAAAAATAAAGTGGAAGAAAGAAAATGAATTGAAATTACAGACTAATTCTATCAGACACTCATTCAATGATCAATTAAATCTATTTTGATAAACATACTCTTCACGCCTTTTAGACATTCTAATAAGGTTTTCATTTAATCAAAATTTATTAATCACAGTACTTCTTTTTATGAAATCTGTAAATCACCGAATATTCGAATCTTAACTTTATATTCGAATATCAATCCATCGAATGAATATTCGAGTGTTCGAATATTCGTTGACATCACTAATTGAAACATGTTCATGTTAAACACTGGGGTCGCTCCTGGTTACTACCAAGCATATTTGCATGCTATATCGATCTGTATCTGTACATGCAAGAAATATTGTATGATCACTAAATCTACTTTACCTGCCACAATATTTGATATAATTCATTCGGAATTGACGAAGAATAATCAAGAATTTGAAAACCTATTAAAAGGATTTCAAATTTTACGACGTTTTGATATAATAAACAAAATCCGCATACACTCTGGAGTAAAGAGCTTTATAAAATAGCATCGATGTGAAGAATTTAGTGTTAATAAGCCTGATAAAATGCTGTTGATTGAAGGGATTAAACGCACGTTTCAAGATGTTTATATTAGTTTTATGAATCAAAAGTTGTCCAACGTCTGTACCTTAAATTTTTGAATTAAAACTTGACAAAGTAGTTCTTAAATGATATGGATTTAACTCAATACAAATAATGAAGGGTCACCCTCTCTACATTCAGGATAAAGATTATAAAGAATGAATAAGGAAAATGGTAGGGACATCAATAGACATCTGATAAAAACTGAGTGTATATATATATATATATATATATATATATATATATATATATATATATATATATATATATATATATATATATATATATATATATATATATATATATATATATATATATATATATATATATATATATATATATAATTAATCAATTCCAGATCCATTACACAGATTCAAGCTCGTATTTACTTAATAAAGAAAAAATATTTTTAATTCTTAACGAATTTGTTAGTCGAGAAAAATGGCTTGATATATGTATGTTAAGCCTTCTTAAAGACTTAAATGAACCCCTATCTCTTAAACCAGAAAAAAGTGGAATATTTTTAGAATTCTTACGTCTTAAATCAAATGTTATTAGAACATGTAGCAGTCATGAAGTTTTAACCTTCCAATATATCAGTGTTATGCAAAACTAAGAGTATTCTGCTTTTTAATTACAATTCTGTGGTCAATGATTGTTAAGACTATCGCATAAATGAACGTCTTTGTTTTTTGTTCATTCAAACAATAAAACTCATTAATGTAACACTGTATTTTGGAAGAAATTTCTAGTTCTAGAAACCCTACAAACACGCTCAGGTTATTTTCCAAGGAATAAATTTTAGTATTGGAAACCCTACATATACGCTCAGTTTACTTTCCAAGGAAGAAATTCTTCAGAATCACATTCAGTTCAGTGTTAAATACTTTTAACACTCCAGTCCACCAAGGTGAGTTAGATGTACCCACCTATGCCGAATTCCTAAAATTCATAATAAAAGTTCTTACCAACAAAAGAAACATTGCTGGGTTAAGCAATTGCTCTTCCATACCACTATTTTTACTCCTTTCAAAAACACTAACTGCTGTTAAGGAGAAACTTCAGACGTACTGAGACCGTTCACGGTAGCTCAGTCGGTAGAGCGCTCGCTCCGTAATCGGGAGGTCGTGGGTTCAAATCTCGGCGGCGACTGACCTAAGTCGATACAAAATAGGTAGCAACTGTTCCTTCGCCATGCACTTTGAAGTGAAAGTTGCGGGTCCTTCGGATGAGACCTTAAAAACCGAGGTCCCGTGTCACGACAGGCGTTGGCACGATAAAGATCCCTCACTGCTCGATGACCCTGAGTGCCGAGTAAAGGTCAAAATTTGAAGCCCTTCACCGGTATATTGTGACGTCTCTACATGAGTGGAAAAATTCTCGAATGGGACTTAAAACAATATATACAATCAATCAATCAGACATACCGTGTTACAGCACATTCTAGAAGTGGTGTAAATCAGATGTGGATCCTCAAACAATCCACAAACTTTAAGAAACCTAAATTACCAATATTTTTCAAAAGTCTCATACAAAATGCTAGAACTTTGATTTTGTACTAGTTTGACTACAGAATGCTTCGTCCACTTGATCAATACATATTGTTCACGGCGGATGGGACCGGTCAACAGGGGATGCTTACTTTTCCAAGGCACATGATCTCACCTCTGGAATTCCTGAGGGTCGTGTTTACACTCTGTTCACAGATTTGCATTGTTTGTTTTTATGAGAGTTATCACTGTTTGTCGATATCAGTTTCAAGTTTACATTCAGTTGTTTTTTGAGCTTGAGTCGCCCGCGTGGTGCAGTAGTAAGAGCGTCTGCTCTACAGTCGAGGAGTAAGAAGTTGATCCTTATGTTGCGGGTTCGAATCCCACTGTGGAACGTAGAGATCGGTCCTTCGGATGAGACCGTGTAAACCGAAGTCCCGTGTCGCAGTAGGTGCAGGCACGAAAAAGATCCCTCACTACTCAATGGACGTGAGTAAGCCTCGGATAATCGATGTTAGAAAAATACTGTACCTATGAAATATTCCAGTTGAAAAAATATCAATAATCCAAAAATAAGGTATATATAATAACCAATAATCTTGTTCTCTATTCAGTCAACGTTGTATATTAAAATGCAGATTTAAAAATTGCAAAACTAAACTTTCATGAAACAGAATTAATAGTTTAATTCATGAAAATGAACCAAGAAGAAATGTATATTTTCAATAACTATGAAATCGCCATGATTCCATTTGATATGATAGGACCTTGTGTTTTATTGTAAAATTTTATAAACAATAACTTATTTTATAAATCATATCGATTATACGTTTGTGATTGGAGATGTTCTTATGGAGCTTAATATTACACATGCCCCTCGTGGCAAGTGATTACAGCTTTTGTTTTAAAGTCTCTATGTAGGGAGTTGATCCTTACGCAATGGTTCGAATCCCACTGCGGGAGTTGGAGACAAGTCCTTCGGATGAGACCATAAAAAC